GTATGTGGGATCCGAACCCTCGGGCGGGAGCGCCGCCGCGCTTCCCAAGCGGCTCACTATCCAGTGCGCCACCGGGCCGGCCCTTTTAATTCTATTTTTCCACGAATTTTTTGAAGTAGCCCTGTAGCAGCTTTCAATTTGAGCTCAATCCTACTGTATCTGTTACTGGCTAGGAAGATTATATTTATGTTATGTGAAAATTTTCTTTGGGTTTTAGCTGACTGCTTGCTTTCTTGAATCAACAGTGTGACATGGCCACTTTAAAGACACAGCTGATGCTATTTTAGGTTGTAATGTAGAAACTCAGTGTCTGGTTTGAGGAAGTTAGTGTTTCTACTCTATTCTGTGCTGCTCCTGCTACTTACTTAAGGACATTTTCCCAGGACATTCTTTCTTCACTGAGATCGAGGTAGAATGTACTGTTCACCTCAGGAAGTTAGTGTTTCTACTCTATTCTGTGCTGCTCCTGCTACTTACTTAAGGACATTTTCCTAGGACATTCTTTCTTCACTGAGATCGAGGTAGAATGTACTGTTTACCTCAGAGTTTCTCTGTATCAAAATCACAAGTGGAAGAGACATTATGGTCTTGATATTCCTTTCTATCTCTTTTGGATCTTGTACCATGGTATTATTATCTACTTTTTCCTGTATCTTCAGTCTCTTTTGTTCTAAAGACTTGTCTGCTTTTAGCTACTACCTACAAATCTGTTTGTCTCCCCTATTAAGGAAGTCAAGAAAGAGGTTTTCTTCTCTTCCACCAGACTTTTTGAGTAATTGAAATGCCTTATCTTCACTTCCTCATCGCCCACCCCTTTTCTCAAATCTTTGTATTCTTGTATCTGCCCACAGCACTTTACAGAATTTATGTGACCTCCCAGCACTAAATCCTTCAAGGCCTTTCTGTTGCTTACCAAGTTAAGTTCTTCAGGTTCCTTGCTTTAAGATTCAAAGTGTTTTGTAATTTGGGCCTCAATTACTTTACTTATGCTTCCCTTATGAGACATGTATGTGTGAGTTATTTGTCTTTTTCTATTTCATTATAAACTGACTGATTTCTGGGATTATGTTACTTGTCTTGTTCCCATGATTGTGCTTGGCATTTTACTAGGTGCTCAATAAAATGAATGAATGAGAAGAATGAGGGAAAATTTTTCTTAGCTCAGGAATTCTCAAATATTATGAGTATGGACGCACTAAAGATTTTTAATTTTTTTTAGAACACCATTCTCCTTTCAGAGGTCAAGCTGTATTAAGAACAGTATTACTAGCAGAGAAGAACACTATGTTATGTGTATGCAATGAAAAATATCATAGGCTTCTACATATTTTGCCACTAGAAAGTATGCCCATGAGGGTTAGGACTTTGTTTTGTCCTCTGTTGTTTTATCTCCAGGACCTAGAACAATGCTGGGCATGTAGCTGGTGCTTGGTACATATTTGTTGAATGAAGGGATCCATTTGTTTCTGAAAAATAGTCAAAAACACAAAAAGTATAAACAAAACAGGTATGAACAGTTGTTTCTGAACTTTTCTGTGGTATTTGTTTTTTATTAATATGACAGCAAAGAATTGAGTAAATTTAAAATTAATGGGTAAATTTTCTTAAGTGTTCTATTTTTTCTGGAAATTAGTGCCATTTGACAAAAATGTGAACTTCAGAGTAGATGAATAGGCAAGAACTCTTGTGTTAGTTTACAAAGTCCTCATTGGGTATTTGGCATTTGTTACCTTGTATTCTTATTTCTGTTCATTCCTATATAGTCTCTTTTATTGAAGCTCTTATTTTTTTTTGTGCTCTGTACTTCTTACTTACTAGGTGCATTCATTCATTCACTATACTTATTGAGCCCCTGCTATGCTGGAGAGAGAAATCTAGGGGCCTGTACCTAATTAAGTACTGTTACATTGTTAGTTGATAACTATAGTGTTTGCTGTTTAAGGGTTTATAATTTGAGGCCTTTACAGTAGATTGCGTTTTAACAAGAAACTCCTAAGGACAGAAGATTTACAATTCAAAGAAATGCAGCAGTGTTGCTATTTTACCTCAGAGGAGCTTGACCAGTGTTCCTTTTAAGTCCTACTGTGTCCATTTTACCTACTTACACTGTTAGATAATACAGTGGGATAGGATTATGGAGGGTCTTGAGAATGTAGACCTGATACTTGTGGTTGGGGTGGGGGTGGGGATAGGGGAGGAGGGCTATTAGAGTCAGGGAATGATACAATGTAAGCAGACCGTTATGTACAATGTTGCCTACATGTGTTTTCTTTCCACTTAGATGCTAAGTACCTCCAGAACAGGGATTGTCCACCCTTTCTCATGTTTCCCTGTGTTCCCCACATATTTATTAAATGCATGGTGGATGAATGTTGAGCTTCTTAAAATTATATTTTTGCAGGTTTTATTCAGGTGAGGAATACTGTGCCTATCACTCAACAAGCCAGGGAAGGGAGGAGCGGGAGGGGAGACTGAAGTTCAGGTTCCGCTTCTTGTACGTGGTTTTATTCAGGTGAGGAATACTGTGCCTATCACTCAACAAGTTTCACCCTTCTGTCTAAATGACTTTTGTGCCAGTAATACCAGAGTCCTACAGCCATGTTCTCGCAGAGTTTGAGTCTCTGGATCCATTACTCTCAGCCCTCCGGCTGGACTCCAGTCGTCTAAAGGTAAATTTCTTGATCCTTGAATTAGTTTCGTTTTCATGTTCTTATTTTTATGTGCACTCAGTTATATGTGCTCCTTCATTCTTGTTCCTTATGTTTTGTGGAATCATGAGTTTCCTTACCTGTCCTAGTCATACCTTACGTAGAAGTAGCATGTTCATAACTCTTTCTTGATTCATTTTTTGTGCTATATTTTTAATTCTTCTTTCCCACTCCTGGAAGACATGATACTGATTACTTAATTTTTCCCACCTCAGTAATCTTGCTGTCTTCTCTCAGAAAGTAATGTATTTGATTGACAATAAGATAGTATAAAGGAGTATACCCCATTACCTTTTGAGTAATATGAACCATTGCAGTTGTATTAAGCTCATTCCAAAACAGGAAGTTTGATGTATCCCCTGCTTTAGGGAGCAAAGCAAAAGTTAGTTAGCTCTGTGGGAAGAAGTATGTGCTTCCTTCAAACACTGAGTTCTTTTGATTAAACCCAGGAGTAACATTATAACTAATTCCAAAATAATTTCATTCTAATGCTTGCTGCTGCCCCAAAACATTGGGCTAGCCTCTGAGAAAAGGGAGAGTAAGAAGTGATAGGCAAAGTAATTATGAGGGTCAATATCAATTAGAATTTTTTTCAGATGCAAGTTACAGAATATATCACTAATAGTGGTTTAAGCAATAAAAATGCCTATAATCTCATTGGAGATTAGTGTTTCTGGGTTTAGTGTAGTGGCCCAATGATGTCACTGAGGACACAGGCTTTCCATTTTCCTGTTCTAACATCCATATGTTTGCTTTTAGTCACATTTGAAGTATTAGTGTCCTGGCTCTTGTCTTACTGTTCCCATTAGTATCTCAAGCTAGAAAGAGGGGGCCAAGGGCAAAGACTTTCTTTTCTTCAGACTCTGCCTTTTTTTTCAGGGAAGGTAAAGCTTCCCATGAAGCTCCCAGCAGGCTTAGTCTCGTTAGCTGGAATACAGTCACATGACCACCCCTGGCAGCAAGGGAAACTGAGAAAGTGAATATTTAAGTTTTGCAGCTTCTATGAAGAAAGCAACAAGGTTGAAGAGTGTTGGGAATGTCTCTTAGTCAGCCAACCAATAACTTTTGTCATAGGGTACTGGCCACAGCATGGTTACTGCTTTCTCTGGTAGATAATGAGAGAAATCAGCAGGCTGAGGGTGTGGGGAGACATGACAGTACAGTGACCTGCATCTGTGCCCTCTGAAGTCTCACTTGCTATAAGAGCTGTGGGTGTTTTGTGATGATTATATAGACTAGAAATGATCTAAGTGCACAAACAAATAAAGTGGTTGCTTTACCTCCTGGTAACTTGCTCTTCACCATTGTGGTCAGCATTGGAATGACCTAGCCAAGCTACATAAAATACGAATGGTCTTATAACCAGCTTTTGCCAAGGGAATATTACTCATTTATACAATTGAGCCTATTCCCCCTTTTTGAGATTCAATTAAAAGTTTAAAAACAAAATATTCTTTCTTCAGTATTTTTCACTGTTCTAGAATTAGAGAGTAAGTGCCATTATATTGTGTCCATCTGGGCAGGGGGTGGAATCTGCTACATAAATCTTCAGTATTTGTTTCCAGTGGATAATCTGTTTGGTTAAGTGGCTGTAATTATCTCATGCTGTTTCTTCACATGTTTTTAGTGCACGAGCATAGCTGTGTCTCGGAAATGGTTGGCTTTGGGCAGTTCAGGAGGAGGACTCAATCTCATTCAGAAAGAAGGCTGGAAGCACAGGCTTTTTCTTTCACACAGGGTAAGATTAAGGGCAGCCCTGTCATATACTATTTGGAGTATCTTTCATAAATGTGCATTTCTCCAATATTAATAATAATTTGGAATAAAAGAAGAATGTAACACTTGAAATTTAAATTTCCTTTTATGCTCTAGGAAGGTGCAATTACTCAGGTCGCCTGTTGTTTACATGATGATGATTATGTTGCTGTAGCTACCAGGTGAGAAACTGTTTAAAAACTATCTGACCTTTTCTAAATACATTTTGAATTGACAGGTATGTTTGTTAGGATGACCAACCATCTGGTTTGCCTAGGACTGTGCCGGTTTTAGCACTGAAACTCCTGTGTTTGGGAAACCTCTCAGTACCCAGCCAAACCAGGATAGACCATTGGTCACCCTAGTGTTTGTGGAAAATGCTAATTTGAGGCCACAACACTTCAAAGGCCTTAAAAGAGAAAGGGAACAGAGATAATTTTAGAACATTTAAGTTCTCCTGTTATTACTGGTTTGATGACTAAAGCAAAGAAATTAATACCTTGACTTTTTACTTCCTCTTTTCTGAAGAACAAAAGTTTGCATATATATTTGATATAGTTGTTACTGTGATGCAATTAAATTGTTCCTTTTTCACCATTACCAAAAATTTGCTTCTGTGACTAATTCTTGCAGTCAAGGACTTGTAATTGTTTGGGAATTAAATCAAGAGCGTCGTGGGAAACCAGAACGAATTTATGTGTCTTCAGAACACAAAGGCCGAAAAGTTACAGCTCTCTGTTGGGATACAGCTATTCTTAGAGTTTTTGTAGGTGATCATGTGGGGAAAGTTTCTGCCATCAAACTCAACACTTCTAAACAAGCAAAGGTGAGAACCACCCCAGTTCTTTGTGTGCGTGTTGAGATTTAAGATGTTGTCTTACAGAACTTTCAATTAAAGGATGCAATTTTATCTACTGTATTTCTGGGGGGACTGATAAGGAGCCCAGACTTGGAGATTTTGAGGAGGCTTGTTTGTATGTAGTACATATGGTAGCCTGTTTTAGCTTGATACTGTTGCAGAAGGATTCTGTGAGCTAACTTCAATAATTTGCATACTGTGTATTGTAGTACTCCCTAATTCACCTACATGGCTCATTTGAACAAAGTATTTTTTAATACTTGACTATTAAGAAAGAAAAGATGTTTATTTACTAGTTGTGTGAATAAAATGATGAACTTACAGACGGCACCAGTTTCCCAAGCTCCTGTTCTTCCCTTGGTCTCAGTGTAGGAGAAACTCCCAGGTCTAGGAACATTTTCTATCAGGATAGATGTAAATTATAGTGAATGGAATCTTAAAGGCACCTCCTGGCTTGTGCTCTACTCTGCAGTTCCCCAGGCTTCCTGCCACAGTTATTGCTGGAATAGAAGTGTTGAGACTTAGATTACTCTAACAGAATGCTCCAGGTTATTTTTGTGTAGGATCCTGCTGGAATAGAAGAGATTCTAACTGCTGTTGGCTGAATTACTTTATTTTCATAAACACACCAGGACATTCTTCTGGTTTGGCCATCATGACCCAAAAGTGATCATTTGATTTCTTATATGTTTTTGATCCAAAATACAATTGAAACCCTGCACATAGTATAAACCTAATTTGTCTTTTTACCAAAGGGAGAAGTACTATCTATAGGTGAAAAATTCTCTCAAATATTCCAAAACTTGCTTCATCTTCTTAGGTCTAACTTCTAGGATTAGATAATCACTAACAGAGCCTTAAAAATTCTCTTCAGCAGTTATGTATCGAATTATTTCACAAAACTTGTAAATGAGTGAAATTTTGATATCCTTACAGGCAAATTTTTAAAATTTTATTTTGCTATCCAAGTTATTGTCATTTAAAAGGTATAGAGGAAGAGATTATGTATATGTGTTACAATGAAATAAACTTATTTCCTTCTCATGTTCCTTTTAGGCAACTGCTGCCTTTGTGATGTTTCCTGTTCAAACAATAACAACAGTTGACTCCTGTATTGTCCAGTTAGATTATATGGATGGAAGACTACTTATATCTTCACTTACTCGATCTTTCTTGTGTGATACTGAAAGGTATACTGACCAACCATGAGTTATCAGAAATATAAAATTTTAGAAGTGGAAGGGACTTAGAAGTCATCTAGCCCTAACTGCTTAATTAATTATGCAGATATTAATAAGGAACCAGTTGTATGCAAGCTGATGTTAGAGAGTAGAAAGCAGGTAAAGGAGACTGAGACAGTCCAGTGAGTGATTAAGACAAGTGTTCAATGAATCCTACCATGAATTATGATCTAAGTGCTATGAGAGAAGGCCAAAGGCTTGTTTCAGTATGGGGAATCAGGGAGGCTTTCTTGACTGAGTTTTGTTGTTGTTGTTTTTAAAATTTGTTTTGGTGTTCTTTTTCCATGTCATTTAATTTTAACATTTATTTGTACATATTTGTAGGGTACATTGTGTTTTTTTAATACATGCATATAGTGTACATTGATTCACTTAGGGTAGATAGCATAGCTTTCTATCCATTAATCCATCACTACGGTAACTTTGGATGAACACTAGGTAAGAGCTTTGTGAAGCTAATGAATATTTCTCCAACATCTCAGGGTGGAGTCAGAGTTACAACAAATGGCAAAGGAATGTATTAAAGGTAGCTGTGAAATACCAGAAGAGAATAGGAAATAGCTTGATATGAATGTTATATATCACTGTGTCATTCTCACTGCAGGGAAATTTTCACTGCCCATTTTTTCTCCTACAGTGCATGGCTGACTACCATATTCCTTAAGACCATCCCCTCTTTTTTTTTTTTTTTTTTTTTTTTGTCTTTTGTCTTTTTCCGTGTCCGGCAACGGATCGCAACCCTCAGTGTTGCCCCCGTACTGGACCGGGGACCGGCAACGGGATTGCAACCCTCGGTGTTGCCCCCGCGCCTCACTCAGCCAGTGAGCGGGAACCGGTCTGTATGTGGGATCCGAACCCTCGGGCGGGAGCGCCACCGCGCTTCCCAAGCGGCGCACTTATCCAGTGCGCCACCAGGCCAGCCCGACCATCCCCTCTTTTAAAAATTTATTATGGAGAATTTTGAGCATACACAAAAGAAGAGAAAATTGTATAATGAACCCCCATGCACCCATCTCACAGGGGTGTAGATAGAATTGAATTGGATGAAAGTAACATAGAACCTGCTGCCAATGTAACATGTTTTAGAAATGCTCACTTTCTGTTAGCTAAAATTCAATTTTATGGGACATGGATAGGACAATAATTTAAAAATTCATTTATATTAAATGTTTTTTTTTGTTTCAACCTGTTTCTTCCCAGCCAACAAATTTTTTTTTTTAAAAAACCAAGAGTCCTAGTGACTAAATGACATAATAGATATGAATTTGCTTCTCCTGCCAGCCACTGTCTACTTTCTGTCAGTAATGGTTAATGAATGAGGTAGATCTCAGAAAGGAACAGAACAAACAGAAACAAAGAATTATGATATAGTGGAAAGAACATTACATAATGGAGCCAAATATGATTTCAAGTCCTGGTTCTATCCACTATTTATTTTTATTTATTTATATTTATTTTATTTTATTATATTTCTTAATTATATTTTATTTTGTCAATGTACAATGTGGTTGATTATTGTGGCCCATTACCAAAACCTTCCTCCCTCCTCCCTTTCTCCACTCCCTCCCAGCAACCTCCTTTCTGCTCAACTTCAAGGAATGTGATTGTTGTGTCTCCCCCCCCCCCCCCCCCCCCCCCCCC